GGTGATGGTGTGGTGAGAGACCACAGGAAGTATAGGGTGATGGGGTGCTCACCTGTATATGGTGCGTGACGTGTACTCTGGCGTCACACACTAACATTTATACACACATATGCATACACATATACACAAACACACACATATACATCATAATTATAATAATAATGGATGCCCCTTATGATCGAGGATGGCCAGCCCTGGGCCACCTAGGCGTAAATTTGTTTAAGGTGTAGAAGTTGTCACTAACACAACAACCACAGCCTAAGTTAACGAGCTGTTTAACCCAGTGTCAAGGAATAATCCAAGAAGACCGGACAACCCGTCAACTGCACTGGCTTACCATTACCCTGGAACACGATCCACAAAGTCGATTAACATCCACGCTCCTAATTACTGTTGGGTGGACACGGTAAATGGCTTAAAGAAACCTACCCATATTTTCATTCTGCCCGGGAATCGAACACAGGTCAACTTGGCTTCCGAGGCGAGCATTCTGGCCATTGCACCACGCAAACACATGTTTACACATATACACACACAAACATTCATACGCACAAAGATTCGCACACATTATCCACACAAAATCAAACACACATACATGACCCCCACACACACATTATCCCATATACATGCATCAGTCACCCTCAAATACGCAACACGTATACAGACACATAAATACACACCCACAAACACGCCCATGCACCCACATTTATTCCATACACCCCCCCCACACACACACATAGACTCCATAAGAACATATGTATGGAGGAAACTGCAGCGGGCCTATTGGCCCATACTGGGCAGTCCCGTTTATACCCAACCCCTATTGCTCATATAACCATCCAACCTATGTTTGAAGCTATCCAGCGTATTCGAATTAATGATGATATTTGGTAACTTGTTCCATTCATCCACTATTCTGTTTCCAAAGCAGTGTTTACCTATTTCACGTCGAAATCTAAATTTGTCTAATTTAAAACCATTGTTACGAGTTCGCTCCTGGTTGGATAGTTTGAGTACCTTTGTAATGTCCCATTTGTTTAACCCTGACTTCCATTTATACACCTCTATCATGTCGCCCCTCACTCTACGTCTCTCGAGGGAGTGCAAATTAAGATGCTTTAACCTGTCTCTGTACTCAAGGTTCCTGATGCCAGGGATTAGTCTTGTCATTCTCCTCTGGATTCTTTCCAATACACACCTACATCCCGGTGCACACATAGACTACTACTGCTACTTTGCTGTCACTTCGAATAGAGTATGACGATCATCCAGCTATGTATCAATGATATGAGTTATTAAAGATGTCATCTTCGTTGGTGAGCACCGAGGTGACTGAGAGGCAGATACGGACCGGCTACATCTAGTGCGGGAGGGCTGTGGCACCGTTTACCGGCTCTGGCGCTTCTTTACCTTGGTATGCAGTCGGGCTAAATCGAAAATATTGACACCCCGCGTGGTGCGCCTCCAAACGTTACGGTGTGGAGTGATCGTCTCCCAGGTGAGGGGGTCGATTTGGCAGTTTTTCAGGTTTGTCTTAAGACTCTTCTTACGTCTTTTCCGTTGCCCGCCAGCGTTACGTTTATCATTCGTTCGGTGACTGTAAAGTAGCGGTTTTAGCAATCTACTGTCGCCCATGTGGATAACATGGCCAGTCTAACGTAGTTGTTCATGGGTATTGGTAGCCTCGATGCTCCTACAGTTGGTATCAGCAAGAATACTGGCATTTGTTCTCTTTTCTTCCCAAGGAACTCGGGGGATGGAAGGTACACTACGTTGGTGAAATTTTTCAAGTGCCTTGAGGTGCCTCCTGTATGTAACCCATGTCTCGCTGCCATACAGTAGGTTGGGTAGGACCACTGATCGACATACGTGCAACTTTGTAGATGATTTCAGCTCCCTACAGCTCAAGACATGGGTACAAAGCTTGCCAAAGGCTTGAGATGCACATCTGATCCGATATTGACTCTCTTTATCGATGTCCGCGGTGGTGGAAAGGTGGGAGCCAAGATACTAAAAGTGGGTAACATTAGAGAGGGTAGTACCATTAACCTGGATGGATGGTGAAGGTGTGGCTGAAACCAGGGGCAGACTGAAGAATCTGAGTCTTGGGTACAGTCACCTCAAGGCCGAAGTGTGCATACTGCATACGCATCAGTGTTCAGGATCTCCTGTAGGTCGCTTTCAGTGTGAGCAACAAAGGTGATGTCGTCTACATACTGAAGTTCAGTAATGCAAGCTGCTGAAATCTTTGTTCCTGCCTGGCATCGTCTTATGATGAAAAGTCCCTTCATCCGGTACTGGATGTTCACCTCACCGGCTAAATTGGCACTGGCACGAGTAAGGAAAGCAGCCAAGAAAATGGAAAAGAGAGTTGGTGTCATTACACATCCTTGCTGTATCCTGTTTAGATGGGGAAGAACTCAGACTCGGTGCCTTGCATAGGACACTGCTGTTCATGCCATCGTGGAGTTGCTTTACAATGGCGATCTATTTTGCTGGGCACCCAAATGACTGAGGGTCTGCCAGAGTGCTTCCCTGTCGATGAAGGCCATGTACAAGTCCAAATGCTGTTCTCTGTACTTTTCCCTGTATCTGGCGTGCAGCAAAAATCATGTCAGTGGTGGCACGTGATGGTCTAAAGCCACACTGAGATTCTGGGAGGAAGCTTTTCGGCCGAGGAAGAAGTCTGTTTAGGACTACTCGGCTGGTAATCTTGCCAGCTATGGACAGCAACAGAGATGGCTGGTAAGTAGAGATCCTACTGCTTTATACACCTCGGCTGGGATTCCATGAGGCTCTGAGTCTTCGTTATTTTTAATCTGTTTGATGGCAGTAGCTACCTCATCCAAGGATGGAGGATAGCTGAGGTGTGGTCAGCTCAGGATGCTGAGGGACCTGCTTGGTAGTCAGGACATCCACATCGGTATTTCGGTTGAGCAGCGATTGGTAGTGCGTTTTTCAGCACTAAAGGATGCCTTCTTCGTCTTTAATTAGGGAGTTGCCGTCGGATGAACGGAGGAGGCCGCGACATTAGTAGTGAGGGCATCGAATGCTTTAGTGGAGATTGAAAAATTCGCTCATGTTCACACACACACACCTATGTACACACACCTACAAACACCCCCACCCCACTGACACAGACATCCATCCCCATACATAATGGTTATCCCTCGTGTTCGACGATGGCCGGCCACCTAGGCGTGAATTTCTTTAAAGCTTTGAAGATGTCACCAACACAACCAGCACACTCTACAGCAAGTTAACAAGTTGCATGACTCAGTGTCAAGGAATAATCCGAGAAGATCGGACAACTCGCCAACTGCACTGGCTAACCACTTCCCCGGAACACGATCCGCAAATCGATTAATTTCCACGTCCCCAATTACTGCTGGATAGTCAGAGGCAAATGGCATAAAGAAACTTGCCCATAGTTTCTTCCTGCCCAAGGATCGAACCCAGGTCCACAATTGCGAGGCAAGACTGCTGACCATTACACCACAGGTCGTAGATACACGTACACTCACTCACATACACACTCATAAATACACCTCCATATAACCCCACAGACATACACCCTCCCTATACACCCACACACACACAACGCGAGTTTCATCTGCAGCAAAAGTAAGCCTGGGGGGGAGGACTGAAGTTAACCAGCTCATTACCGGTGACGACATGTTGAGCTCCCTGTACTGCCCCAGGTCGTGTTCACCCACCTCCCTCCCTCTCTCTCTCTCTCTCTCTCTCTCTCTGTCTGTATATCTATCTGTCTCTGTCTGCCTAATTATATGACTTTCTCTGTCTGTCTGTTTATCGCTTTCTCTGTCTGACTGTCTCTGTCTGTATATCTTCCCCTCTCTCCCATGGTTCTTCTTAACTCCTTTCCTACTTCTGCTTTCCCTTCCCCTTTTCTCTCTCCATCCCTCCCTTCCTCTCCCCTTCTTCTCCTCCATTGTATCTTTTCTCCTATCTCTCTCGCCTTCTCGACCTTTTCCCCTCTTTTTCTTCCCTTTCTTCTGTTTTATCTCCTTTCTTCTCTCTCTCGTTCTGTCCCTTCTCCCCTTCTTCATCTCTTTTACCTCTCTGCTATATGCTCTCCTCTTCTTCCTCCTCCCTTTTCTTCTTGCTTCCCTCCCTTCTTTTCTATTTTTCATCGCTCTTTCTCCTCTCCATCATTTCTCCTGCCATGGACACCAAGTGGAAGAAAATGAAGAGGAGGAGGAAAAGAGAGGAGAGAACAGAAAAGGAAGAAGAGGAAAGAGGGAATACCAAAGGAAAAGTAGAGGAGGTGAAAAGGAAAGGGTAATAAGGAAGAATAAGAAGAAGAGGAAGAGAAAAGAGAGAAAGTGGGAAGAGGTAGAGAGGAGAAGTGGGAGTTGCAGGAAGGGAAAGGAAGGAAGGAGGAAGGGAGAGTGAGAGAAAGAGGGAGAGAAAAGGAGAGAAAAGTTCGAGAGCGTTTCAGGATAAGACAAAAAGAAAGGCGACGAGAGATGGAAGGACAGTAGGTGAGGAGAGAAATGGGGAAGAAGTGAGATAGAGAGAAGAAGAGATGATCAAGTAGATACAGTACGTGAGGGGGTGAAAGACAAGGCAAGTTTGGAAAGTTAGTGACTGTAGTAATTGAGGAAGGAAGGAAGGAAGGAAGGGGAAGGAAGGAGGGGAAGGAAGGAGGGGAAATACATGAAAGTAAGATAATAAGTAAAGATAACTAATAATAAAACGAGGAGATAGAACACTAAAAGACCCTGCAGGTAACGTTTCCCGAGGCATCAGTATAATTATTTCGGTCGGCTAGGATTCTTGAAGGTTTCTACGTGTGAATTTAATTCGTAAAATTATCTAAATACGTACGTAAATAGTTATGTAAAATAGAACACAAAAATATTCCTCAAAATGGCTCCAACATTATTCTTAGAACATCTTTAAAAGGTTACGTTCACTAAGCACATTTAAAGGACCAAATATAACTTTGACAGTCCGCGTATATCCTGATCCAGTGTTCATAGTCGTCTGGTGGCCCTCGTCCTGGGAGATGAATGGTGCCCGTCCCTTGTCCTGGTAGATTGACTGGCAGATTGCTGGCCCCCTGTAGATTGACTGGTGCCCCTCGTCCTGAGAGCTTGTCTGGTGCCCCTCGTCCTGGTAGATTGACTGGTGCCCCTCGTCCTTGATGCTTGACTGGTGCCCGCCCCTCGTCCTGAGAGCTTGTCTGGTGCCCCTCGTCCTGAGAGCTTGTCTGGTGCCCCTCGTCCTGGTAGATTGACTGGTGCCCCTAATCCTGAGAGCTTGTCTGGTGCCCCTCGTCCTGGTAGATTGACTGGTGCCCCTCGTCCTGAGAGCTTGTCTGCGCCCTCGTCCTGAGAGCTTGTCTGGTGCCCCTCGTCCTGAGAGCTTGTCTGGTGCCCTCGTCCTGAGAGCTTGTCTGGTGCCCCTCGTCCTGGTAGATTGACTGGTGCCCTCGTCCTGAGAGCTGTCTGGTGCCCCTCGTCCTGGTAGATTGACTGGTGCCCTCGTCCTGAGAGCTTGTCTGGTGCCCTCGTCCTGAGAGCTGTCTGGTGCCCTCGTCCTGAGCTGTCTGTGCCCTCGTCCTGAGAGCTGTCTGGTGCCCTCGTCCTGGTAGATTGACTGTGCCCCTCGTCCTGATGCTTGACTGGTGGCCCTCGTCCTGAGTCTGGTGCCCCTCGTCCTGAGAGCTTGTCTGGTGCCCCTCGTCCTGGTAGATTGACTGGTGCCCCTCGTCCTGATGCTTGACTGGTGCCCGCCTCGTCCTGAGCTTGTCTGGTGCCCTCGTCCTGGTAGATTGACTGGTGCCCCTCGTCCTGGTAGATTGACTGGTGCCCTCGTCCTGATGCTGACTGGTGCCCGCCCTCGTCCTGAGAGCTTGTCTGGTGCCCCTCGTCCTGGTAGATTGACTGGTGCCCCCTCGTCCTGAGAGCTTGTCTGGTGCCCCCGTCCTGAGAGCTGTCTGGTGCCCCTCGTCCTGAGAGCTTGTCTGGTGCCCCTTGCCCGTAGATTGACTGGTGCCCTCGTCCTGATGCTTGACTGGCCCGCCCCTCGTCCTGAGCTTGTCTGGTGCCCCTCGTCCTGAGAGCTTGTCTGGTGCCCTCGTCCTGGTAGATTGATGGTGCCCCTCGTCCTTGATGCTTGACTGGTGCCCGCCCCTCGTCCTGAGAGCTTGTCTGGTGCCCCTCGTCCTGAGAGCTTGTCTGGTGCCCCTCGTCCTGGTAGATTGACTGGTGCCCCCTCGTCCTGATGCTTGACTGGTGCCCGCCCTCGTCCTGAGAGCTTGTTTGCGCCCTCGTCCTGGTAGATTGACTGGCACCCCGTCCTGAGCTTGTCTGTGCCCTCGTCCTTGATGCTTGACTGGTGCCCGCCCTCGTCCTGAGAGCTTGTCTGGTGCCCTCGTCCTGGTAGATTGACTGGTGCCCCTCGTCCTGGGAGCTTGGTGCCCCTCGTCCTGATGCTTGACTGGTGCCCGCCTCGTCCTGAGAGCTTGTGTGGTGCCCTTCGTCCTGGTCGATTGACTGGTGCCCTCGTCCTTGATGATTGACTGGTGCCCGCCCCTCGTCCTGAGCTTGTCTGGTGCCCTCGTCCTGAGAGCTTGTCTGGTGCCCCTCGTCCTGGTAGATTGACTGGTGCCCCTCGTCCTTGATGCTTGACTGGTGCCCGCCCCTCGTCATGAGAGCTTGTCTGGTGCCCCTCGTCCTGGTAGATTGACTGGTGCCCCTCGTCCTTGATGCTTGACTGGTGCCCGCCCCTCGTCCTGGGAGCTTGACTTTTTTTTTTTTCTTTAACATTAGCCCGCCCGGGTCATTTTCAATGACCCACATCAAGGCGTGGGGGGCGAAAATAGAATAAAATAATTATAATTATTATGATGATGATGATGATAATAATAATAGTAATAAAATTAATAAAAATATATAAAATAAATAATTATAATCAAAGAAAATAATAATAATAATAATAATAATTATAATAATAATAATAATAATAATAATAATAATAATAATTAATAAAAATATTTTAAAATAAATAACAATTATAATAAACGAAAATAATAATTTATAATAATAATAATAATAATTTATAAAAATTAATAATAATAATAATAATAATAATAATAATAATAATAACAATAATAATAATAATACCCTCTGTAATAATAAAGAGCCAGAAATAAAAAATAAACAAAATAAGAATATCAATAATGAGAAATGATATATGTATGTTGAGACCCTGCAATTGTGTGTAAATGAGGCAGAAAGGCACATCACCAACCTGGAACTTGGTCACAATTTTTGTGATGCCATATGGCAGCAGGGTCTACCATTAGACAAAACATTATGCTTCCAATATCTTCCCAAGCGGTAATACCTCCCTGTTTGGTAGCTGCCTACTACCGACTGACTGGTGCCCGCCACACGTCCTGGGAGCTTGTCTGGTGCCCCTCGTCCTGGAAGCATGTCTGGTGCCCCTCGTCCTGGGAGCTTGTCTGGTGCCCCTCGTTCTGGGAGCTTGTCTGGTGCCCTCGTCCTGGGAGATTGTCTGGTGCCCCTCGTCCTGGGACTTGTCTGGTGCCTCGTCCTGAGCTTGTCTGGTGCCCCTCGTCCTGGAGCTTGTCTGGTGCCCCTCGTCCTGGGAGTTGTCTGGTGCCTCGTCCTGGAAGCTTGTCTGGTGCCCTCGTCCTGGGAGCTTGTCTGGTGCCCCTCGTTCTGGGAGCTTGTCTGGTGCCCCTCGTCTGGAGTTGTCTGGTGCCCCTCGTCTGGGAGCTTGTCTGGTACCCCTCGTTCTGGAGCTTGTCTGGTGCCCTCGTCCTGGGAGCTTGTCTGGTGCCCCTCGTCCTGGGAGCTTGTCTGGTGCCCCTCGTCCTGGGAGCTTGTCTGGTGCCCCTCGTCCTGGGAGCTTGTCTGGTGCCCCTCGTCTGGGAGCTTGTCTGGTGCTCCTGTCCTGGAAGCTTGTCTGGTGCCCCTCGTCCTGGGAGCTTGTCTGGTGCCCGTCCTGGGAGCTTGTCTGGTGCCCCTCGTCCTGGGAGATTGTCTGGTGCCTCGTCCTGGAAGCTTGTCTGGTGGCCCCTCGTCCTGGGAGCTTGTCTGGTGCCCTCGTCCTGGAGATTGTCTGGTGCCTTGTCCTGATGTGTCTGGTGCCCCTCGTCCTGGGGCTTGTCTGGTGCCCCTCGTCCTGGGAGCTTGTCTGGTGCCCCTCGTCCTGGAGCTTGTCTGGTGCCCCTCGTCCTGGGAGCTTGTCTGGTGCCCCTCGTCCTGGAAGCTTGTCTGGTGCCCGCCCTCGTCCTGGGAGCTTGTCTATTTTCTTTTTCTTTTACGGACATTAGCCCGCCCGGGTCATTTTCAATGACCCACGTCATCGCGGGGGCGAAATAGATTAATTATAATTATTATGATGATGATGATGATTATAGTTTTAATACCCTCGTAATGGGAGAATAATAGAATATCATAATGAGAAATGATATATGTATTTTGAGACCCTGCAATTGTGTGTAAATGAGGCAGAAAGGCACATCCATACCTGGAACTTGTTCACAATTTTTGTGATGCCAGCAAGGGACTACATTGGAGCAAAACATTATGCTTCAATATCTTCCCAGGCGGTAGTACCTCCCTGTTTGGTGGCCCCTACTACCTACTGACGGTGCCCGCCCCTCGTCCTGGGAGCTTGTCTGGTGCCCCTCGTCCTGGGAGCTTGTCTGGTGCCCCTCGTCCTGGGAGCTTGTCTGGTGCCCCTCGTCCTGGGAGCTTGTCTGGTGCCCCTCGTCCTGGGAGTTGTCTGGTGCCCCTCGTCCTGGGAGCTTGTCTGGTGCCCCTCGTCCTGGGAGCTTGTCTGGTGTCCCTCGTCCTGGGAGCTTGTCTGGTGCCCCTCGTCCTGGGAGCTTGTCTGGTGCCCTCGTCCGGAGCTTGTCTGGTACTCATCCTGGGAGCTTGTCTGGTGCCCCTAGTCCTGGGAGCTTTTCTGGTGCCCCTCGTCCTGGGAGCTTTTCTGGTGCCCCTCGTCCTGGGAGCTTTTCTGGTGCCCCTCGTCCTGGGAGCTTGTCTGGTGCCCCTCGTCCTGGGAGCTTGTCTGGTGCCCCTCGTCCTGGGAGCTTGTCTGGTGCCCTTCGTCCTGGGAGCTTGTCTGGTGGCCCTCGTCCTGGGAGTCTCAGAAAGTCTCTGAAAGTCTCTGATGTGTGATGTATTTGTTTTGAGGCGATGGCTTTGTAATATTGCTACCTTAAGATGAATCATTTTAAAGGTATTTTAAAGGATTCGGAATGGTAAAAGGCGTCAATACGAAGTTTGAGAAAATTATCTCGGTTTTCCATGAATTATATCGAGAGAGCTACTTTACCTATAATTATTTAAAAGAAAACCTATTGTAACATGTTGGAGATAAACAAAATAGTTATACAAGGGGACCAGTCACCACACACACTGAGGGAAATAATAAGGCACAATTACTGTTTCAAGAAAAAATGTCGTAAAGGATAACAATATGAACACTGAAAATGCCCCCAGGGATGACTAACTCGAATCGTAGAAAACAGGGAAGCGAGACGAGAGATAACTAACAGAACCCGCATATGTCGTCGACCGGATAATTAGGATATGTTCCTTCCTGGGTTGTGGTGGTAGCTTTGTGGAGGCGGCTGTTGTTGTGTTGATGTTTTATGTGGGAAGCTTTCTAGGGGGACTCGGTTACCCTGGGAGATGTGTGGGTGTCATCACTGAGGTTGAGAGAGAGAGAGGAGGAGGAGTATGACTGTTGGTGTTGTGGCGGGTGTATGACGGCGGGTGAGTGTGGGTGGATTGGTGAATGTGGGTATTGTGGAGGGTATGTGTGTGGGTGCGTGAGACAGCAGTGGTTATGATAGTGTGGATGGAAGTAATCTGAGGTGTGTGCGGGAGTAGATATACAAAATACAACCAAGGATGTTGCTTGCTAATGTGAGGTGCGGGGTGTAAATGTTTGTGTACATAGACTTGTGTATGTGCATGTAATAACGCTTGTATGATAGTATTCATGATCGTACGAATGGGTGGGATATCAATGCGAGAATGTAGTTATATACCACACCAGTATTATAAAAATGTACTATAGTCTGTATATACAGTCACGGACAAAAGTTCGTAGACTCCGATCTGGAGTAATATGGACATTGAATCTCTCAGCTTTTGAGTCTGAAGCTTCATAAATAAGTTGTTCTGTTTACCAACAGACAGCGCGCTTCTCTGAGTAGTTTGAGTGTGCGCGCGCGCGTGTGTGTGTGTGTCCCTCGTGTAACGAAGATGGCCGGTCCAAGGGCCACCTAGGCGTGAATTTGTTAAAGGTGTAGCTGTCGCCAACACAACAAATACATAACCACACCCTAAGTTAACGAGCTGCATGACCCAGTGTCAAGGAATAGTCCGAGAAGACCGGACAACTCGCCAACTGCACTGGCTAACCATTACCCCGGAATACGATCCGCAAATCGATTAACATCCAGGTTTCCAAGTACTGCTGGGTATACGGACTCAAAAGACTCAAAAGCTCAGAGATTCAATATCCACATTTCTCCAGATCGGAATCTACGAACTTTTGTCCGTGACTGTACAGTATATGACTAAGATCAGCTGTTCTCTTATTATATCGTTATCAATTTTTGTACGTCGTTTCCTGTCCCTCATTCCGTCTCAGGTGCTACAATTGTTTATGTTGACGCTTCACTGCTGCTTATCCGTGTATTATTTCGGGTATTTTTTTTTTTAACTTGGGAGGTAAATAGTGACAAGTTTATTGGCAAAGACGATTTTTGTCTTAAATTTTGACACCTTTTTTTCCCATACCATGACGTGTGGGGAGGAGCGAACCACTATTTGTTGCCATTTATAATTTGTATTGATTCTGCTCAACCATGCATTCAAAAAGGTGTGGGTTGTAAAAAGTCAAGAGTCAGTGAACAGTGGTAGTTAAGGCGCCTGCAGCAACAACACCAACGTGAACTTTCATTAAATAAACCTAAAGTGCACTGCGTCCTGCTCTTTCTTTAACAAGAGATTAGACAGTAAAATTATGTTCGCTAAGTAATCAAACTTTTGTGTGCTTCTCTCCAAAGTTTATATTCTGCGAAACATAACACTTCATTTTCATTAACAGATTTTGTTTAAGTATATTCACAAGAAACTCTAAGTAGTAGTTTCTTGTGTGTACTAGGATGTTCTGGCCCGTACTGATCATCACCCCATGTTCATGGTCACAGATATCTTCAGAAAGTGATTATAGAAATGAATGCCCTTGATGAGGTATTGAGTTACCAGAGCCCACTAGCCAGTGAGTTTAGGAAACTTCATTGTGGCAGATGAATACAACTTAAACTAAAATATAAAGTTAAACAAAATGGGAAAAATATATATCAACCTGTTGTAATGTATTGTAACATGTATCTATAATACTAATACTAATACTAATAATACTAATAATAATAATACTAATAATAAATATTTATTCTCGGGAATTTATATATACTCGTATTCAGTATACCATTGAATGACGAGACATAATACAAAACAATTTAAAATACAATACAATAGTAGGTGCAGTTATTAAGGAGTATTATTACAATATTACATGATCCACTACATACATATTGCTTCACAGTACAAAGATAAATCAGTGGAACATCTGTCAGCGTGTGAAAAGAAGAAAGTAAAAGTGGGCAGTGTAGATACAGCACCAAACCAAGTCTAATTTTCGGTAAACAGGGAGGCATCATGACTGGTACTCATTTTGACCGGTACTCATTTTGACCGACTTCTCTTTTCTCAACTGTAAAATTAGGCACCAATTTGCAGCTGGGTGAACAAGGTGGCACGAACCAACGACCCTTAGGACAGGAGACGAGCTGTGTCCATTCGGTTGTTACATTCCTTCTAAAATGGTACCGTCACATAAATAGGACACAGTTACAAGAAAAGTGGGAAGTAGAACATCGTAATAATGTGTGGGAAATAATAATGAGCGTGAACCACATTAATGATCATTGTAAAGTAGACGATTTCTATAAATGTTGTTGCCTTATTGTCGTGCTCTGTTCTCAGTGTTGGTCGGATCACCAGTTTTGTGGGATGGGATGGAATTTACACTTTAGTGACGGGAGTTAGACGTATCTGGGGTTACCTCGTACTGCGCTGTAAAGCCTGCACAGGTGTTCTTGTGCGTTTGTAATTTCACCACTTCAGTAATACTGCTAACACGTTTGTTTACTTCTTCTATTGGTTTACTCTGCCTTTAGAAGAGCACTGAGCGCCCTCTACAGTAGTTGCTGTATACTGTGACCTAATACACCACATACTCTATATATTGTAACTTATGTATTGCGAGAAAAATTTTATTATTTATTGAGACATGATGAACATTGTTCTTATTGTCATCTTACTTATATATTCGACGTGAACACACCCTTCAAGTGTTAACATGAATCACTAGCAACTTTACTTGGTCTGTAATAAGCAGAGTGGAATTAAAAATGTATCATGCAGTGTGACCAGACACGCAAGCGCACACACACACACACACACACACACAGTTTGTAAGTTTGTACATTTTCAGCCACCGGCTGCAACTCTATAAAAAACCTTATTATTAATTATTACACACACACACACACACTCACACACACACACACACACACACACACACACACACACACACACACACACACACACACACACACATAAGAATGAAGGAAACTGCAGTGGGCCTATTGGCCCATACTGGGCAATCCTGTTTACACCCATCCCCAATCGCTCATATATCCATCCAACCTATATTTGAAGTTATCCATAGTATTCGAGTTGATGATGATGTTTGGTAACTTGTTCCATTCATCCACTGCTTTATTTCCAAACTAATCTTTGCCTACCTCGCGCCTAAATCTTAATTTGACTAATTTAAACCATTACTAAGAAATCGCTCCTGGTTGGATAGTTTGAGTACCTTTATGATATCACCTTTTTAACCCTGACTTCCATTTACACACCTCGCCCCTCACTCTACGTCTCCCGAGGGAGTACCAATTAAGATGCTTTAATCTGTCTCTGTACTCAAGGTTCCTAATGTCTGGGATTAGTCTTGTCATTGTTCTCTGAATTCTGCAGTACGGTGACCAGAACTCACGCTCTAATCCTTTTTAGAATATCTCCTCCAATCCCATGAGCCTTCACTTTTCCTATTAGTCTCTCGTGGGAGACTGTCGAAGGCTTTGCTAAAGTCGATGTATACCATATCATAAACGTGTCCGTCACCCACTGATTCGAAAACAACTGAAAAGAATGTTAATAGATTTATTAGACATGAACGCACACTTGTGAAGCCATGTCTGGAATTATT